GAATCACCTTAACCCAACTTCAGGATTGAGATATTTCTTAGTCACCCAGGTAACTCAGAGTTAAGCCTCCATCCCTGTAAGGGTTGTTTACTTCTGATTCCCTTACTCCTAGGGTGCAAACCTTCAGGGGCCCAACCCAAAGACCAGGCGGTTTACCAGGGCTACCCCCCTTGAGATCATGGACTCTAATTTTTGTCTCCCTAGTCCCAGGAGACTGTCTAAAACTCTGCTGAGTGGCTCATTCTCCTCCTCTGGAGTAGCAAACAACCGCAGGACAAAAGCTATGCCAAATGCCGGGCTCATCATTCTGGATTTCCATGGCTTCCCAGATCCCGGGCCAGTAATTCTTCACTTTGTTAACTTTCCAATGCCTTCAAGTAGACATTTTAATATTTTGCACAGCTTTACTCAGTAAGACAGTTGGTCTGAACTATCTAAGCCAGCACTACCGGAAGCTGATATTCAATAAATGTTAGCTCTCTCCCCTTTCTGTTTCACCCCAAGCCTCAATGATGTTACAGTTAATGTTAAACAAACCAAAGCAGAACACAAGACATAGAAGAGAAGGAAAAGCGTTAAGGAGCCTCAAATGCACCCAGGCATGAAGATCAGGACAGACAAGCTTTGCATTCCTCATCTAGCACACCACCTTACCTTTGCTCCATGCTGTTTGTCCTTCCCAGAAGGTCTTCCTTCCTTTCCTTCACCTCCCTAATTTCCTACTATCTTGGGATACTACGGGCATTCTTTTATATTAAAAAAATTCTATGTGATGTTTTTCTACTATGGTATTTCCATTAATAAATCCTATGCATGCTGCCGACCAGTCTGGTCTCTTTGCAGATACCTTCCCTAGTGAGTGCAGACCACCCCACTCTCCTTCCCTGGAACCCACTGCAGTAACTCTTCATCACATCCTCTCTGTGCTTAGGGTCTGGTGTAAGTCTAGCCCCTCAATTCATTAGCTAATTCCTTAAGGCAAGGATCATGTCTGTCCTCAAGCGCCCTCCCTTCAACAGCTCTCAGAAAATACTTACATTTCATGTATTCTCTGAAAACCAAAGAACCCTGATTATAGAGGGGAGTTTCCACATCTTTGGATGATCACCCTCAGGACTGACAGGGTTTCTCAAGAAGAGACACTCTGAGGTCTCAAGGCATTCAGCAGAGCTCTCTCACACCTACACTGTCCCCTCCGAGGATTTGGGCAGATAGGGCGTTCTGCCATGTCCCCATGCTCCTGCACCTCAGCTCCAGAGATCTGAGGCAGTCTCAGAGAAGATCTCAGCAGGGCACTAAAAAGCAGCCTTTGAGGGCACTGACAGCCAGTTTCCACTCACCAAGTACCTTTAAAGGCAAGATTGCATCTGCCAGGGAAGAGCTGTCTCAACAGCAAGGCTGAGCTCTAGGGGAAGGTCTCTGGACATTCTTAACAACCCAAGAGGCCTCCATTCTAGCATCTGCTCCTCATCCTCATCCAGGATGGAAGCCTAAACTGAGCTGCCAGAGATAGCCCTTATTCCCAGGAAGGGAAATCAAAACAGAGGAGGGGAGCAGCAGTATCCCATCCCAGAAGCAGAGACCCTTAGAGTACCCAACCCTAACGAGAGACTCGCTGGGCCCACATGAAGAAAACAACAGTACTCAAAAAGAAGAAAGAAAGAAGGTTTGAGTCATGGAAATAAATACCATGCTCCCAGAGGAGAAAGCTATATATTAAGATATTGATGTGTCCCAATTAGTCTTATACTTAAGGCAATCCCAATCAAAATACCAATGGTCTGGAAACAGAAAGCAGGTTGCTTGGGTCTGAGGGTGGGAACAAGGAGTAACTGCAAAAGAGAACAGGGACCTTTTCAGGGTGATGGGAATGTTCTGCAACTGGACTGTGGTAATGGCTGCACGACTCTGAATGTGTACGTTGAATTATGCACTTTAAATAAGGGAATGTTGTGGTATGCAAATTTACCTCAATAAAGCTGTTTGAAAATATATAGCTAGCAAGTTTTACTAAAAGAACATTCAAAATGTAAATCTGACTTCAGTTTTTCATGAAAGGATTTAACAGCCTTTTGATCTTGTTAAAAATAACTCATCATGTCTTTTAAAAGTAGTTTTTTAAAATGGTGAATATAAAGATACAAGGCAAGAAAACAACGGTATCTAGGAGTTGGGAGAATTTCAAACAAGGATTCTGAAGTTTTCCTAAAGGAATAAAGAAGAGAGAATAGCTAGGAAAATTTTTAAAAGAAGTATAAGAGAGTTGCTCTGACAGAAGTTAAAGCTATAATAATTAAAACAAGATCATCCTGTTGTAAGAATCAACAAACAGATTAATGGATTATGATAGATGTATAGACAGAAACTAAGATAGGCTTTAGTGTGTATAAAAATTAGTATAGAAAGAAAGAATCATAAACTAATAGGTAAGGGTTGAATTCTCCACAAATGATATTGGGGGAAGTTACCTATTTATTAACCAAAATTGAGCTATAGTATGATGCTACATTATACACCCAAGTCAATTCCAGATTAATTTAAAAGTCAAATGAATGAATTCAAACAACAAAAATTATTTTAAAATATAGATTAATATTTAACTTTAGAATGGGGAAGGAAATCATAAACACTATGGAATAATATGCAGATTGTGACATCTTATACAATCATTAAAAATGAAGTTTTTCAGATAACTTTTAGGAATACCATAAGAAAATACTCATGAAATAATGAAAAATAAAGAAAGCAAGATATAAAACTGAATCAGAATAACAGCACAAATTAAATTTAAAAAATAGTAAAATTACATATATAAAATGATTGGTAGATACCCCAAGATGTCTCTGGATGATAGAATTATAGGTGAGTTTTTACTTTCTCCTTTTAATTTTTAGGGTTTCCACCCATATTTTCTACTACGACCATGTGTTTCTCTCATAATCAGAAAAATAGTTTTTTAATAAAAGATTTGGTAGAATGAAAATATGAAAAACCAATCAAATTCAGCCACTAAAAAGCAATAGCTGCAAAATACACATAGATGTTAAATGCATTTTTAACATGTATGATACACTTCACAATTTTTTAAAGTATAAAAAAATAAAATGAAAGCCACACACGCTTTCTGCGGGAACAGTGGAACCACCGCGACAGCCTCATGCCTCCTCCTCTCACCTGTGAAAGGCAAGCAGGGCCCTGGCCAGCAGGATGCAGCCGTCCTGGCTGCGGTGCTCCCCACTGCTGTGGGCCGAGAAGCCAGATTCACTCTCAGACTTGGCCGCCAGCCTGGTCGCTTCCCAAAAGAGCTCCCCAGGGGCCCGTGAGAGCCATCCCTACAGTAAGGATGGCTGTCAGGACATGGAGCAGCCCCGTGTGGGCCACTAGGAACTCACACACCAGCTTCCGACATCTCCCGAGACCAACGGTGAGCAGGTGAGAGTCAGGAACCGATTCCAGAGCATCTGGTCTGAGGTTTGCCCTCTCCTAAGCCCTCTGAACTTCTGCCCCACAGACGAACCTCAGCACGCACCGAAATGAAACCGCGTCCCCTGACCACCCTTGAAACTGGCCCCTCCTTCCCCCACGAACGTTCTCTCCCTGGGAAGGGCAGGCCTCCCTGCTCTCCACGAAGCATCCTTTTCCCTCGGCCCTTCATGAGGTGCTGAAGCAGCTTGTCCCTCATGAGTTTCCCTCGGCTGTCCCGAGGAGCCCTCCGTCCTCTCCCCCGACCCTGTGAAACTGCTTTCAGCTGCTCCGCCTGTTTCCTGGGGCCCATGTTCCCGCCTCCTCCATCCCAAGAAACGGTCTCATCTTAGTTCCCGCCAGAATGTTGTTTCCACTTAGGGTTGCCAGATTCAGCAAAAAGAAATACAAGACACCAGCTAAATTTGAATTTCAGATAAGCAATCAATAATTTCTTAGTCTAAGTCTCTCTCATCTATTTTATCGACCCCACGCCCACTCCTGAAACACTTTTTCTTTCTGCCACTCATCAGAAATACTGTCTTCTTTCTGTCCCACCATAAAACACTCTGTCTCCCAACACTCCTGTAAACACTGCCTGCCCTCTGCCCCTTGAAACACGAAACATTGACAAATGGGACAAACCTTCCCTCTGTCACTCTGCTCAATCCTGCTCCTCTCTCCCTTTCTCCCCCCATCAAACTCCTTAATGCTGTCAGCCATCTGCCTCTTTCTGCCAATAGTGGACGCCCTTACCCCTGTCTCCATGCAAAACATCATCTTTTCTCTGTTGGCTGATGATCCCAGAAGATGATGACACTCTTGTTCCCAGGTAAAACAGTTTGCCTCTCTCTCCCACCACGTAATATCTTATACGCACTGCCATTTATTGACACACCAGGCACTGTGCTAAGCACTCGGACTCTTACAACAGCCCGATGAAGTAGGTGTTATTATTATTATTAGTAGTAGTAGTTATTCTGATTTTAAGACTTGCCCTAGATCACACACAGGTAAGGATAGTCAGATTTGCACATAGGTATACCTGACTCCAAAATTTTAGATAAAAACCTAGATTAAACCAGAATTTCCTAGAAATTTGTCACCTTAAAAATCTTCTAATGAGCATCCGGGTCGAGACCCACTGCGTACTGCGCACACTCCTGCTCCCCGGTGTCCCCCATGAAACACTGTTGACTCAATGCAGCCCACAGAAAACTCCCCACTGGCCCTTCCCTCCCCAGGGAGCATCGCCGTCCTCCACCTCCCTCTGGGGCACAGTCCCCTCAGCCATGAACTCCCATGCCGTCAGAAGAGAGGGGCACAGGCAGGCTGTGCTGCCCTCATACCTGGCATATGGAGATTGGCTGGGGCAAGGGCCAGGCCTGTGGTCCCCTGCTCCTGGCTGGCACTCCATCCCCACCCCACCCCCTTCTATAAATAGCACACTGCTCTCTGGCTGCCGAGGTGTTGCAGCAAGAGTTTCCATGAGGTCAGTTTCCCAGAGCGGCCTCCCGGCACCCAACACCCTCACTTACTTCTCCTGGAGTCCTGTGGCTGGCTCGCCCCTGCAGGGGGCTGTCCCGGGTGCTGTGTCTCCGCCGGGCAGGGGGTGTGGGCACTTCGGCAGAGGCCTGAGGCGGGGCCTTCCCTGAGCTCTGTGCCCCAGGTTCTGGAGCTTGACTCTGGGAAGAGTCGGGCTTGCTGTTGGTGGCGGGCTCCTCTTTGGGCTTCGGAGGGGCAAATCTCTTCCTGTTGAAAGGCCTAGTTGGCTGGGGGGCTGAGGGCGTGGGCTGGCCAGGGGTAGCAGGCCCCTTCTCACCTCCAGCCTCGCTGGGTACCTTCCTTGAGGGCATCTCCCCAGGGGCCCTATTGCTTGGGGTCTGGGGCTCCTCCCCGCCCTGGGGCCTGACGGCCCGGGTACTCTCCAGATACAAATCTTTCAGGGAGAAGTACATTTCGCGGTCTGGGCCTGGGACAGGGGCCGGGGCATTCTGGGCCTGGTCTTGAGTGGCCACAGCAGAGGCTGGCTTCCTGATGCTACCTACTCCAGAGGACCTAGGCCCCCGTGCGGCCTTGCCTTTGGGCTGAGTCTGAACCTGCTCTGTGTCCATGGGCCCCTGTGTCCCACAGGAATCAGGCTTGTCTGAACTGGGGACATAGTTTTCAGAAGAACGGTGGCTTCGAGCTGCCTTTTCTAACTCTGGCTTCCGTGGCCCTTGCTTAGGGTCCTCATCTTTCTTTTTCTTCTTGGCCCCAGACTCCTTTTTGGGGGCTCTCTGAGGCCCCAGCTCCATGGCCTCACAGATGTACGTCAACAGGCCGTGCTCCCCGTCTTCCCCATTCTCTGGGACAGCCTCCCCATTGGTGGTCACTTCTCCAGGAGCAAAACTGTTGATCAGGCCCAAAGCTGGGTGCTGACCAGGCTCAGTCTCTCCTTCCTGCCAAGCCTCCAGGGTCCCGTCCTCAGCCTCCCTGGTAGGGGGCGGGGGGACTGGCACCTCAGCCCCATTCAGCCGCCGCTTTCGCTGGAAGCGGTCGGGGCTGAGCTTGCGCAGGGTGTCGGCCTCTCCCACGGCCTCCTTCCCGTGCTTCCAGCTCTGCTCTATCTCACGCATCTTCGCTGCAGCCTTGCGCTTCAGCTTGGCGAACCAGCGCTGGTGGATCTTGTACTCAGTCATGGTGCCCACCTCCAGGACCCCAGAGCAGGACACAATGCCCTTGGGGTTCCGGGCAGAGGCCTGGTAAATGGCGGCATCTTCTTCTTGACACCTAGAGGTAGGAGCACGCATGAGATGCCAACTCTCCCCTCCTGGAAGGCGAGAGGCCCCCAGTCCCAGCAGCCAGAGCCTCTCGGAGTAGAGCACACTGCCCTGCCCCTGGCAAGCCCTGCCCTGGGAGACACGCCCCACCTCAGACCTCACCGCGTCCAACCCTCCCCATTACAGTCGAGGAAACAGAGGCCGGCAAGAAGGGGGAGGTGACCAAGGTCATGCTGTTCCAGAGGGATTAGACTTGGGGCCCAAGAGAGCTCCCTTCAGAGGCAGGTGACCCACACAGCCCCTTGTGAACTAAGGATGACACAGGAGCTTTTTTTGGCAGCTGACCTCATGGAAAATGTTTCTATGGGTCAGGACCTCCTCTGGTTGAGCTCAGCTCTCTGGCTGTCAGAAATATCCCACCCCGGCCTTAGGAGATCCCAGACACTGGCGAGCAGACACGGTTCACCAGGTGGTTCGACTCGGCAGCAGAACCCTGCCCTCCATGCCGAGATCCTGCCTGGGCATCTTCATCCGGCTGACTCCATTTCTGAGGGCAGGCTTGGGCCATGGGACCCTCAGGAGGGCAAAGGGAGCAGAGCAGGTCCCTCTCCCTCACCTGTAGAGCTGCAGTGTGTGGCGGTTGCCCTGATGAGTGATCTCGTATTTTGGCAAGCCACAGTAACGGTCCAGCTCTGTGTCATCCTTGTACCAGGTCACCTCTGGCTCTGGGTATCCTAAGAAGGAAGCAGGAGACTTGGGTTGCAGAAAGACCAGTTCCAAAATAGTAGGAGGAGAGAAAAGGATGCCGTGGCTTCTCCAGACCACCTGAAGAGACTGGACTGACCCCCCTAGCCCGGGCTCGCTGGAGGAACAGGGCTATCATACAGCGCCCTTATTTTTAGAAGTTAGGCCCTGTCAAAGCTGAAAACTGTTCCCCTTCAGCAGCTGGAAGGCAAATATGGAGGAGAAATTTCCTAGCTTCCTGGTAAGAAAGGAAGCAAGGAGTTTCTAGAAAGCCTTGGCTGGTAGTAATAAGCTTCCTTTCTTCAGTGGTCTGTTCTACATCCTCAACTCTAGTAACAGCTCTATCCTCAGAAGTCTCCCCCAAGTACCCCAACACCAATGGCACTGCCAAGAGCCCTCCTTCTCTCACTCCAGGATCCCGAGCTGTTAGTACTGTTTTATGGCACAGCTAAAACATCCATCCATCATCCATCATCCATCATCCATCTATCCGCCCATCCACACCTACCTACCTACCCATTCACTGCTTGAGACCCACTGAGGTGTCTTCCCAGCCTCTCCTCTCTGGGGACTTCCATCCCTCAAGGAGAGGGACTTCCCTACCCACAAGGGGAGCTTCCAATCGTTAGAGTCACATGACCCTGCCTCCCTGGCTACATAGCTGATTGGTCCAATAATTGACACCCAATCAGTTAAGCTAATCCAATTCTTTGATTTAAGATTTGGGATTTAGGACCTAGAAACAGTTAACCCTTGTGTCTGGAGATAAAATTTCAAAGGGGTACAGCCATGTTCTACCACATGGACTGAGAAGCAGACAAAGCTGGTCTGCAGCAAGATGGAAAAATGAAGTTGATGTTCAGGATAGAATAAGAGACAGGAGACAGAGAGACCTCCAACATCCTTGCAAATCCTGGCTCCATTCCTTGTCTGGGCACAGCTGCACTCCTACTTGTCAATCCCATACAGCCTTACCAATGAATTCTGCTTCAGTTCTTAAGTTCACACCAATTGATTGGCAATACTTATTAGAAATCAAAGACTTGATATATATTCCCTCAAATATATATATATTAAGTCTGTGCTGACTGCCAAGCAAGAGTTATGAAGATATGGAAGCTTGACAGCCAGGGTCTTTGCTCTCAGGGACCCTACTGTACAGTAGAGGAGGTAAGACGGATCCCCACACAAGGCAGGGATGGCCCTGCCTCTGTGCACACACTCTGCCTTCCCTATGGTCTATGGATAAACTGCCCACACACCTAATAAAGCTGCCCGCACTGATTCCCCTCTCCTTGTCTCGTCAAGGACATCTCTCCAATAGTCATTTCTGCCCTCTTCTGCATCATGAAACGTTTCCTCTCTGTTGTATCATTACCATAAGCATAAAAGCCTGCTGTACTTTAAAAAGTTCTTTAAAAAGAACTGCATTTGACCCCACATCCTCCTCTAGCTCCTGCCCCCATTTCTCTGTTCTCTTCTTTACAGAAAGATTCTTTGAAAGAGTTGTCTGTACTCACTGTCTTCACTTTCTCTCCTTCAATCAGGCTTTTGTACCCACTGCTGCACCAGAATGGCTCTTGTCAAGGTCACCCAGGACTCACACATTGCCAAAGTCACTGGTGATTCTTATGCTACCCAATCTATCAGCTTTGACCCGCCCCCTCCTTCCTTAAACGGTTTCCTCACTTGCTTCTGGACACCACTCCTTCCGAATGCTCTTCCCACTTCACTGGCCACTCTTCCTCATCTCTTTCATCCATTCCACCCTTACAACCTGGGCTTGTAAATCTTAAATGCGCCAGGGTTCAGGCCTCAGAACCATTTTCCATTCTCTATCCCTACAACCTTGGGCATCTAACCCCATCCTGGGGCCTTTAAATATATCCGTAGGCTCATGACTCCCAAATTCGTATCTGCAGCCCAGACCTCTCCCCTGAACTCCTCATTCTTATTTCTGACTGTGCACCTGACATCTCACTCGGAGGTCTAATAGGAATCAAACACATCCCAAGCCAAACTTCTCAGTCCCCTCTCTGAGCCAGTTCCCACATAACTCAGTAAATGGCAACTCCATCCCTCTAATTTGGTTCAGGCCAAAAACGAGGAGGAAATCTTGTATTCCTTTCTTTTTCTCAGGTCCACTACATGAGACAACGCTACGGGCCCTCTCTTTAGAATATATCCAGAATCTGATCACTTCTTGCCAGTCCCCACCACCAAGCTGGTCCATCCCCATCCTCGCAGTTTCTGCAATAACCTCCTTGCTGATCTGACTGCTTCCATCTTGGCCTCTCTTCAGCCCATTCTCAGTTCAGCAGCAGCCAGAGGAAGCCTTTTAAAACAAAGTCAGATCATGGCACTCCTCTGCTCAAGACACCCCCATCGTTCCCATTTCTTAAGGCCCTCATGGTGTGCACCCCATGACTGCTCTGGCCTCAGCTCCTTGGACTTGCGTGCTGCACTCCAGTCACATGCTCCCGCTGGCTCGTCTCTAACGCACCATGCGAGCATCACACCTCAGTTCTTTCAGGCTCTGTTGGTACGTTACCTCCTCAGAGAGGCCGTCCCTACCCGCCTGTGCAAAACAGCAACTCTCTCTCCCTGGCACTTCTTATCCCTCTTACTACGTTTATTTTTCCTCAGAGAAGGCATTGCTCCCTGAATGAGTTCGTTAGTTTATGTGTATCCTCTCCAACCGCCCATGGAATTGTCAGCTCCATAACTTATCTGTGTTACTCACTGCCATCCCAGAATACATAGAGCCTGGAATGGAATCAACACTCATTAAACATTCACAGACGAATAAATGAAGTAAAGCACTAAGTGCTCAGGGTGCAGAGAAGGGAGCAAGCACCTTGGCTGGGGAACCGGGAAAGGCTTTACGGCATGAGTTAAAAAACTGGCCTTGAAGGGTGGGCAGAATTTCAGAAAATGTGGGTTCAGTGCCTGTGTGTCCCCTTCACAGCACTAATTGTGAGACTGTGATTGACTATTTCCTTATCTGTCACCCTGCTGGACTTAGGTTCCATGTGAGCAGGAAGCTTATCTTCTTTACTGCTATATCCCCACCACCTAAGACAGTGCCTGGCACATAGTAGCTACTTAATAAAAATCTGCTGGATGAGTAAGGGAAAGAGCGAACAAACAAACACGAGGCAGATAGGAAGGGCACGCCTGACAAAGGACCGTGACAGTAGAATGTGGGGTGGAGAGCAAAGGGCAGGCTGGGGACTGTGTACAGCAGCAGGGAGCAAGGGAGGCGAGGCTGCCGCTGGGTCGGCCAGGAACAAACTCTGGGCAGCCCTGACTGTAAAGCGAGCCCCATGTTTCCACTGTGAGCTAAAGCCCTGGTTACATCACCGTGCGTGTGGCCAGGGCCAGCACAGGTGTCCTCACCAACCCGTGGGATGATCTCACCCTACGAGGGCCCAGCTCAGAGTTCCCTGACCCACAACCAGCCAGCAGGGCCTCAGCCCCCAGGGCATCTGAGTCCAGTCAGGCTGGGGCGAGGGGGAGGGCTGGGGCAAGGAAGGGGACGTTGAATGGACTCCACAGCCCCAAGGTGGAGGCCTCAGCCCCCAGGACATCTGAGTCCAGTCAGGCTGGGGCAAGGAGGGGGACGCTGAGTGGACCCCACAGCCCCAAGGTGGAGGCCTCAGCCCCCACGCCCTGCTCTAATGCCTCTTCACAAAATGGGGGCCAACCTGACCGCTTAGGGCTCCACGGCAACAATGGGTTTTGGAAACAACTTTATTTCGAAAGAAAATATTTCCTTGTCACCTGGATAATATGAACTGTATTTTAAAACACAGGAAAGCGGGAGAGGTCCTTGATCCCCAGCTGCACACACGTGTATGCCCGTGCGTGCACCCACAGGCAGGCGTGCACACACACACACTCGGCCCTGGCCAGGGGAGCCCACAGCAGCGCCGGAGCCTGTGGCCTGCCCTCTTCCCCCTGACGCCCTGAGACCTCTGCTTCACAGCCAGCAGGCCTGAGTCTGGAACCCAGCTCAGAGTCTCGCCACCTTGTCCCAACCATTCCCAGTCTGGAGAAGCTCAGATTCAAGGGGAGAATAATGATGAACGTAAATTTAGCGTTTTCAAAGAGCTTTCAAAGATAGAACTTCATTTGGCCCTCATTATAATCTGGTGAGAACAACTGCTAACATTTCTTGAAGGCTTACTATGTGCCAGATATTGAGCTGAACATTTTTCATGTATTATCTCATGTAACCCTCACAGAAATCCTATGAGAAATGTACTGTTATTAATCCCCAATTTAAGAAGGAGGAACTGAAGGCCCATGAAATTAAGGCTTCTTCCTAAAGTCATCCAGCTGGCACATAGAGAAGCCGAAATCCAAATCCCTCTCTTTATAAAACAGACAGGCGGGGGTTTTAACCCCTATTTTACACAAAAGGAAGATGAGGCTCAGAGAAACTAAGTAACTTACCCAGGGTCACACAGCCGGCACAAGAAAGCCCCTAGTTTCCTTTTCCTTCTTCCAATGCTCTTTCCACTGAGGGTTCTGGGACCAACATGTAAGTTTCTGCCCCCAGCAGTCATTATGTGAGACTTATTTCTCTAAAAAAGTTTCTTCTGGAACTTGGTTCTGTCTAAAGGTTGAGTCCCTCTGTCTAGCTGCTGCTGCTGCTGCTGCTTCCTCCTCCTACCCCTACATAGGCACACACACACTCACTCACACACACACACACACACCCCAACATAGTCTACAATAGAGTCGAGGAGAATGGGGGCCACCATGCTGGACAGAGGTGGGCAGCCTCAAGGAGGATAGTAGCACTCTGGCCAGAGAGGCCCCTGGGGGAGACAGGAGCCAGAAGGCCTCAGTCAAGACCCACTACCCCCCTAAAGGCTCACTCTGGGAGGGAAGAACCTCAGGGCTGTTCATTTCTTCTCCAAGCCCACAAGGGCTTCCCTCACAGCTCAGCCAGCAGGGGAATCGGCACAGACTCCACTCCCTC